GTGACTACCATTATATTTAATTCATGAACGAGGAAAAGTGAGACACACACTTTGGGACTTTCTTAGGTCACCCAGCCAAGTACTTAAGAATTCTCACAGTCTGGGCCCACATGGCAGGGGCAGGAGCAAAGGTGGGGAGGCAGGAGCTTGGGGCCCCCAGTAACGTAGCCCCTGGCGGAGGTGAGGACACTGCTCAAAAGCCAGTTCTCAGAGGAAGCCGGAGAGAAAAGGCGGTTTATGTATGAGCACAGTGCGCAAGCACGGAGAGTCTCTATGGAGGCCCATACCCTGGGAACCCAGTCTCCCGTGCCATCACTCAGTCCTCCCTACCACAGGTTCTCAGAGCTCTAAGGTGGAGTCATGACTGTGACAGCATGGGCTGTGCAATAGCTTCCAAGAAGGAGGGTCTCGGGAGCTGGCAGGAGCCAGGTTCCCAGCAGGGCACAGCTGCACACAAGGGAACCCATCTAGCCAGTGGCCTCATAGCCCTGACAAGCCAGGTCAGGACCTAAGAGAGCGTTAGAAGGCTGGGCATTGAGGTGTCAAGGAGGAAACAGGAGGCCGAGGTGTCTGCAGCCAGAGAAAAAGGCAGCTGGAAATTCCATTTGGTTTTCAATTTGAAGGTGGAAAGAGGCCAGGAGCTGAGGGACTGGCGGAGGAGAAGTCAGAGCCAGAAAGGGAGATGGAAGAGGGAGACCCAAAAACAGAGGCAGAGACACAGACACAAAGTCAGAGACTACAGAGAACCTGTGAGACCGAGTCAGAGACACACAGAGACAGGGGTTCAAGGACAGCAAGCAGAGAAGACCTCAAGGGGAAAAGTCATAGACATAAAGAGACAGAGTCGGTCAGAGACGGTGGACACAGACCCTAAGAGACAGAGTCAAAGGCAGTGAGCAAAGACAGGAAGGGGCAGAGTCAGGAAACAGAAGTGGAAACACAGCTGGAAAGGCGGCTGAGAAAAGCGGCCTCAAAAGCCTAAAGGATGTGTGTGTGCAAATGTACATATGTGTATCGCACCCATAGGCCTATTAGTATGTTTTAATAAATCATTTACACACACACACACACACACACACACACACACACGAGAGAGAGACAGAGAGAGAACAGCTGGGCATGCTGGCTCACACCTACAATCACACACACACAAGAGTGAGACATGCCTCTACCCCAATAAAGTAGCCTGTCCTTGGGAGGCAGAGACAGGCAGATGTCTAAATTCAAAGACAGCCTGGTCTACAGAGCAAGTTCCAGGACAGCCATGGTTACACAAAGAAACCCTGTCTCGGAAAAAATTAATAACAAATTAGAAACCCAGACGTCGTGGCTCATGCCTGCAATCTCAGTGCTCAGGAAGCAGAAACGGGATGATCTGGAGTTCAGGGTCATCCTCAACTACACAGCAGTTTGAGGCTAGCCTTGGCTACATGAGATCCTCTCTCAAAAAACAAAACAAAACAAACAAACAAAAAAAGCCGGGTGCAGTGGCACACACTTGTACTCTCAGCACCCAGGGAGGCAGAGACAGGTGGAGCTCTGTGAGTTCCAGGCCAGCCTGCTCTACGAAGCGAGTCCAGGACAGCCAAGAGTACAGAGAGAAACCCTGTCTTGAAAAAACAAAAGGAAAAACCAAAGGGGCGGGGGTGTGTGTGCTGGTAAGATGCCTCAGTGGTTAAGAGCACTGTCTGATCTTCCAGAGGTCCTAAATTCAATTCCCAGAAACCACATGATGGCTCATGACCATCTATAAAAAAAGGCATCTAATGCCCTCTTCTGGCATGCAGGTGTACATGCAAACAGAACACTCATACATAAATGAATAAATAATTTTTTTAAGTTTTAAAAGACATTTATTAAAAACAAAAATAGATGGTGGTGGCACACACCTTTAATCCCAAGCACTTGGGAGGCTGAGGCAGGCAGCTCTCCCCCCCCCCCATCCTCAGAGGGAAGCCAAGGCAAAGCTACTCCCAAGACCCACCGAAGGAGTCAGTGATGGGGTTGGAGAGTATGGCTGATTATACTGTATCTTTTACTCAGCCACACCCCCTGCTGAGCACATTCTCAGGGGACCCAGGCTAGGGCCCTGTCAGGCTGGGATCCAGTGCAAAGATTATGGCTCAGAGAAGTAGAGTGGCTCCCCAGGACAGGAACCAGCCTGAGACCTCAGGACCCTCCAGCTCCCATGGAGACCAGCAGGAGGCAGCTGCCCTCCCCAACCTAATCTTTAAGGGCTCAGGAAAAAGGTGGCAGAAGGCAAGCACTCATGTGTGCCCTGCCCACTGCAGCTGCTCTGTCATCTGTTCATGCCAGAGTGGGAGGAGGCGGAATGTCACAGGTTATGTCTGCACTGTTGTCCCCAAACAGGTGCAAGCAGAACCCTCTCCCTTTACAGGTGCTTCGGAAGTATTACTCCATTGGTGCCAGGGGGCTGCCCTACAAAGAAGCTCCTTCCTATTTAACAGATGAGGAAACCAAGGTGCTCTTTGCTAGGAATTTGCCTAGGATCACACAGTTCTCAGCAGCGGGCACCCAACTGCCTTTGCACACTTTTCTAGAAAGAAACATAGCCCTATAGTGGGCAGACCAGTTTGTTGGCTCTGCCTCAGCTTCCCCATTCAGACAAGACCAGAGAGGATCATCTGGCTTCGTTTGGAAAGGTTGACCTACTAGGATAGAAGGGAGCCAGCCCAGGAGTGTGGGACCTCACACATCCATCCACACTAAGACCTAGGCAATGGACCAGGAGGCCCAAGAAAGCTGTCCTGCAGTGCCACCTAATGGTCATATGACCTCAATGTGGACAGCCACATGAGATGAATTGATTTCATCCCTTGGGAGCTATCAGTAAAATGGGAGAGAGTTCCTATCACTTGTGAAACGCAACAGGAACTGGACTCTTTTTAGAGTTTGTTACTACAAACTCTGGACTTGTTAGTAGAGTTTGGACAATGAGGGCTGTCCAGGGAAAATCAGCTGTTTCTCTGTGTCCCACATGCTACAGCATCAAGTAGGCAAACCACTCAGTCAGTACCCGTTGTCCCATCGAGCTCAAATTTCCCTTTTCACTCCCTGTTCACAGACTGGCTAGTGCTGCATGGCTCCCACATCCCAGGAGCTCCAAGGTAGAAACAAACCAGGCAGGATTTCTCTCCACTGCAAAGACCATCTTCTGGGTTTGGGGGTTAGAGAGCTTGTCTGGCGCTCAAGAGGCCCTTCCTTTGCCTATCAGCACTGCATAAATAAACCAAAGTGGAAAACAAGAGACACTTCTAGAGGTTCTCAAAGTTTTGGGCTTAAGAAGCCATTTTCACTCTTAAAAATCTCAGGGCTGGAGAGAAGCTTCGGGGTTTAAGAGCACTGGCTGCTCTTCCAATGGACCTGGGTTCTGTCCCCAGAACCCACACTATGGCTCACAGAAGTCTATAACTCCATTTCAGGGATCTGATGGCTCACTTCTGGCCTCCACAGGTACCAGGAACACATCTGAGGTACAGACATACATGCAGGCCAAACATCTATACACATTTTTTTTTTCAACTTAAAAACAAAAGCCCAGGTACCCAAAGAACATATCTGTAATATTTATCCATGTGTACCTCATTAAAAACTGACCCTTTTTTAACACTGGGGATTAAATCCAAGCATTCTATCACCAAGCTATTAATACATCCTAGTTCTTATATTATTATAGGTAGCCCAGGAGGGCCTAGAATTTGGTATGTAGTATGTAATCTAAGCTGACCTGAAACTTGCCATTCTCCTACCTCGGCCTCCCCAGCGCTAGGATTATAGGTGTCATACCGCTATGCCCAGCAGTAGTCACTGACTCGCTTAACAACCAACTCATTGCTTAACAACATAAACAGCATTTTGCAGTAAATAACTGTATTTTCCAAAACAAAGCACTGTATCTTGCATGTTTGCAAATGTCTTTATTTCTTCGTTGTGTGTGTGTGTGTGTGTGTGTGTGTGTGTGTGTGTGTGTGTGTTCTCGAGACAGGGTTTTTCTATGTAGCCCTGGCTGTCCTGGAACTCACTCTGTAGACCAGGCAGGTCTCAAACTCACAGAAATCCACCTACCTCTGCCGCCGAAATGCTGGGACTGAAAGTGAGCACTGCTACTGCTCAGCTTTGTTTGGTTGGTTTTTGAGACAGGGTCTTGCTATGCAGCCCAGGCTGGCCTGGAACTCACAGCAATCAATCCTCCCAATTCAGTCTGCCAAGTACAGGGGTTACAAGTGTGTGCCTCCTCACCTCACTGGCAAATGTCTTTAATGATTTGGCTTAGTGGAAGCCAGCTGGATTCTCACAGCACACAAGATCTGCCTATTACTTTTAAGTTCATGAAAAAGTGTCTCAGTCTGGAAAAGTGGCTTAGGTCTGTAATTCCGGCCCTTGGAAGGCAGAGAGAAGGATCAGGAGTTCAAAGTCATCCTCAACTACACTGTGAGTTCAAGGCCAGCCTGGGCTATATGTCTTCTTGTCTCAAAGGAAAGTAAAAAGAACTATCTCAGGGCTGGAAATGGCTCAGGGGTGAATAGCTCTGCCTGCTCTTCCAGAGGATCCAGGTTCAATTTCCAGCACCCACAAGACAGTTCACAACTATCTGTAACTCCAGTTCCAGGGGATCCGACACCCTCACACAGACACATGCAGGCAAAACACCAGTGCACATAAAAGAACCATTTCTTTTGTGGGAACTCAGACTATTCAGTACTTGGCCCCTGAACAGAATTGACCAGTGAGGCTGGAGGCCAGGGCCGTCCACACAGCCTGGTTCACAAGAGGCCTGCTGGGTAGGAACTAGACAACAAAAGTGGCTTCTGCTCCTTGGACACGCCTCCAGTTCAGGCTCCTCGGGGACTCGAGGAAACGCACCAAGCCAGCGTCCTAAGAGGGAACTTCCGCCCGCTGCGGAACCCTGGGTTCCGGCTCCGGTTTCTGCGGAGGAGAGCGCACCGTCAGGGCGGAAGTAACGAGCGGCGTGTGGGCGGGGCTCGGCAGCATGTCGGCGGCGTTGCTGCGGCGCGGCCTGGAGCTTCTGGCGGCGTCCGAGGGTGAGAAGGGCTGTTCCTGCGACCTCGCCCTGTGCAAAAGCCGGGACTGGGCGGGTGGGTGTGCAAGAAGCCGGGACTGGGCGGGTGGGAAGAGAGCAGTGAGCACCCTCCGACTCCGTCCTTCCCTGTCTTTTCCTACAGCTGCTGGTGCCGCCCCCGGCCAGGCCAAGACGACGGGGGCTCCGGGACGACGGACCCGGAGGGCGAGGGCGAAAGCCTCCCAGGCCCTGAAACTACGAAACTCAGCGAAGGGAAAGGTGCCAAAGTCCGCACTAGGTGAGTTGAGAAAGAATTACGGAGCCTAGGCGGGACTCCAAACGGATAACGAGACTCAGCAAGGAAAATGGTGGGGGACAGGTTTCGGACCCAGCCATCTAATTCCCGAGTGTCTTTGCTGCTATCTGCTTTGTAGCTGTCAACAGGATGAGAAAAAGCGGGGAAGAGGTGGGGTGGTGACACACAGCTGTAATCCCAGCACTTGGGAGGTGGAGGACCTGAATTTCAGTGTCATTCCTGGATCCATGGTAGTTCAAGGCATGAAACACAAGATCCAGGTGCTTGTGAACTATAGCCCTAGTGGAGAGAGAAGCATCAGAAAGTCTCAAAACTGTAAGTTTTTTTGCTAAGTGTGTGAGGTAAAAGGCTGTACGGTGCTCCGAGGGAGAATCAAGACAAGCCAAACCAGCCACCTGTGAGGAAGCCACGTTAAGGCTGAGCACCTGAGGAAGTGTAAAAGCTGCCAGGCGAAAAGAAGGGGTCTTTAGCTGTAAAGGCTTGAGAATTTGGAAGACAGGTTGACAGAGGTCATACGCCGTGTGCAAGAGTCAAGATGGAGTATCCACCAGAGGTAAGAGGGCTGGCTCAGTGGTTAAGAGCCCTTGCTGCCCTTGAAGAGGACCTGGATTCAGCTCCCGGCAGCCCACGTGGTGATTCACAACCACCTGCTGCTCCAGGCCTAGGGGATTAGATGCCCTCTTCTGGCTCCACAGGGACCTCCTCATGTGGGGTACACATACGTACATTAGGCACAAACATATGCATAATTTTTTTTTTTTTTTAAAGAAACGAAGGATTTCAGCCAACAGTTTACACCTCTGTGTGCCAGAGGCCCTTCTAAACCCTGCAAAAAGTGTTAACTCATTTCAGTCTCAAAGCAGTGAGATGAATGGTTCTATCGCCCCGCATTACTGATAGAGAGACAGGCACCTGCCCAGGTGGGGCCAGTGGAAGCTAGGCAGTATGTCCGTGGCCTTGCCCTTGATGTGCTCCTCTCAAGTGACGGGGATCCTTCCTCCATCGCAGTAGGGATAGCAAAGAATCGAGTTGCTGTGCCTCAGTAGTGTACTGTCTGTAGAACGGAAGCCTTGTTTCTAGTAGAACACCTTAGAGAAATGTGGCAGAGTTAGTAAGACATACAGACTTGGGGAGTGAGAGCACTGGATGGTGAGCTGCTTTCTCATCTTTGACTCCCTGGGCCCTACTGTATAAAAGGTGTTTAGGTACTTTGTTCCTTTCTCTCAGTTTGCTTGGTTGGTTGGTTCGGCTTGGTTTGTTTTGACAAGATTTCACCCTGTGGCTCAGGCTGGCTTGGAACTCACTGTATAGCACAGGTTAGCCTTGAGCTTAAGGCAATCTTCCTGCTCCAAGCTCCCTAAATGCTGGGATTATAGATAGGTATGTACCACCACACCCAGTCTTGAAGTGCTTGTTCAAAGAGGTATGAAGTCCAAGAGGAAACACAGTGAGCAAAGGTGGAGCTAGGAGGTATGCTTGACACAAGTGGTTTGCGTGAGTTTCCATGTCAAGGTGCTTCACTGCCCACTTAGGGGTTTCCCTTCACTCTTGTCCTGAGGTAGGAGCTCCTCAGGATACAGGGCAAACCTCCCACCCCTGACTCTGGATTTTTCTGTGGCCCTGGTGGCCAGGCCACAGCCTGGTAAATAGGAATGGCAGGGCAATAATAGCCAGGCATGGTGGTGGCACATGCTTTTAATCCCAGCATTCAGGGAGGCAGGGGCAGGCAGATCTCTTGAGTTAAAGGCCAGCCTGGTCTACATAGTGAGTCTATTTCAAAAAATAAAGACTAGCTGGGCCTGGTGGCACACGCCTGTAATAACAGCACTCAGGGAGGCAGAGGCAGGCAGATCTCTGTGAGTTAGAGGCCAGCTTGCTCTACAAAGCGAGTCCAGGACAGCCAAGGCTACACAGAGAAACCCTGTCTTGAAAAACAAACAATCAGAAAACTCAAACAAAACAAAAATAAAAGACAAGTAGCCCAACACAGCCGGTTTAGATAGATAGCTCAGTGGCTGTTGCCCTTGTTTAAGCTTCCTCATCTCTTGCCTGAATTGTGCAGAGGACTCTTCACTGGTCTCCCACCTCTCACATACCCACCTCTTTCTGTAATTGTAATCTCAGCAGCTACCAAAGCAAGCTCTGTACAGTCATGAGCCTCACTTCCCCTCAGAATCTTACTATATCATTTTGATTTCCAGTTCAGGGTTTTGTTTTTGTTTCAGAGACAGGGTTTCTCTGTGTAGCCTGGCCATCCTGAAACTCCCTCTGTAGTTTGAGGTCCCCCATGCTGACCTCAAACTCAACAGAGATCTGCCTGCCTCTGCCTCTGCCTCTCTGAGTGCTGTACTCCCTGAGTGCAGACAGGCGTGTGCCTCCATGCCCTGCAGTCTTTGTTTTTTGAAATACTCACTGTGTAAACCAGGCTGGCCTTTAACTCAAGAGATCCACCCAGCATAATTCAAGGTTTTTAATGCTTTCTGTTTCTATCTCTTTTCAGATACCCTTTCTCTAGATCAGTGGTTCTCAACCTGTGGGGGTCAAAAGATCCTTTCCCAGGTTACCTAAGACCAGTGAAAATCATAGATATTTGTATTATAATTTATAACAACAAAACAAAATAGCAATGAAATAATTTGTGGTTGGGGTCCCACAACATGAGGAATTGTATTAAAGGGTCGCAGCATTAGGACAGTTGGGAACCACTGATCTAAATGTTGACAATGCTGAACTTCTGGTCTTTTCAGTGAGGCCATCTTAGGGCTTTATTCGGAATTGCAACCCTCTGCTTCTGGCACTCCCATTTTCTGTTCCTGCTCAGTTTTCTCTGTATGATGGATAATCCTGACTAGACTGCATTCAGGAGAACACAGCAGGAGAATCTCTGAATTTGAGGCCGACCTGGTCTAAAAAGTATACCAAGACTCAGCCCTTAACCCCCAAGAAGAAAACAGCCTCTAAAAATGCTTGTTCACATGCTTCTCAGTTCTTTTTTTGTAGAAATGAGAACAGGAATCCCGTGTGTCCTGCTTCCTACAACACTTAGAACAAAGCCTGATGCACAGTTGTGCTCAGGGAGTGTTGGCCTTCCTGATGGGTGGGAAGGGGTCCAGGAAACCTACAACTCTGAGGCTTGGGAAGGTATCCCAGCTCTGGGGTGAGACAGTGTCCCAAGGGTATCTCAAGACACGGGAGCCCAGGAACCTCACAGCTCTGAGAGGAGGCCTCCTCAGCAGAGACACTGTACCTCCCGGGGGAGGGTTACCCCAACCCCTGATGAGCAGAGGAGCTTTGGAGCTTGAGCCCCGCTCCTTCTCTGCTTCTCTTCTGCACTTGGCTTCTTCTGAGAAGAGTCACCCCCAGCAGAAAATCTCTTAAAAGAGATTTATTGGAGGGACCAATCCCGGATTGGCTGAATCAGAACCCAAGTGAAGACAGCAGAGAACTGGGCAAACACAGCCTTTATGTAGGATTTTTTAGGGGGCAGAGATTTTCAGAGTGAAGATTGGTGGGATTTTAAGTCTTGAACTTGGGAAGCTTTTTCACCTAAAATTAGCATAAATCTGGGAAGTCCCACTGAGGGGCTGGAGATGGCCCTTCTGACAGAGGCTGGAACTGCCAGTTTAACACAAATGGGGGGGGGCAGCCTATTAACTCATGCCTTAAGGGGTTTACAGTAAACTCTAAACAAAACAACTTTTGTGAACTAAACTTTAAACTTATACTAAGGGGTCAGATTTCTAGTTCTGGTTCCTGGCTGACAGTGTCAGAGACCATGTAAAGCTCCCTGCCTCTGAGGAATGTTAGTTTATACATTGCCACAAAGATGGCACTGACCAGCTCCAGTTAAACAAGCTCCCCTTCCTGAGTTCCCTTCAGCAGCAGCCTTAACTGAGGCCTCGGGTGCTGTTGCTTTCTCTTGTGGCTTCAGCTGCTCAGTTCCTCCAGGTGTCTGATCTCAGGTATCAGGGCTGTATGGATTTAGCCTCAGCCCCTCTGTAGAGTCCTGAGGTGTTGCTTTCCGGAGGTGTAGAGAAGCCAGCAGCACATTCTGAAGATCCAAGCACCCCTTTAAGGGACTACAGGGGGTGGCAGCTGGGGGAGCTGAAGAGCTGAAAAGGGGTACCAAGGGAAAGATATAGGGGGAGCGCAGAGGCAGAACTTGAAGCTGCCTGGCCTGGCTGCCAGAGCGCCTCAGCAAAGGCCTGGACACTTGCCTTAAACAAAGGGAGTCTGGCTGGGAATTTCCCTGCTGTGAATAGCCAACAGGTATACCTATTTTTATTTTAAACAGTCTTGCTATATAACCCTGTCTGATCTGGTACTTGCCATGTAGCTAGGAGCAGTCTCCCTGTCTCAGCCTCCCAGTGCTGGGATCACGGGTATATACCAACATGCCTGACTAAGTCACGTGATTAACTGAAAGCCATCCAGTAAGGTCTATAGAATTTTCAGCAGGCAAGACCTATGTGAAACATAGATTTGGCTAAAAAGGGACCAAGCTGTTGAAATATCTAGGGAAGGAGTCAGGCAGTGGTGGCTCAATCTTTTAATCCCAGCACTCGAGAGGCAGAGACAGGTGGAACTTTATAAGTTCGAGGCCAGCCTGATCTACAGAGTTCCAGGACTGCCAAGGCTATACAGAGAAACCCTGTCTCAAAAAACCACAAAGAAGGAATAAAAAAAGAAGTATTTAGGGAAGGGACATAGAAGGCCTCTATGAGTCTGAAATGACATGCCCTGCCTGCCACCCACAGCTGAGTACCAGAAACGACAGTGTCGAGACCACCTGAAAGCAAACCTGAAGTTTATGACCAGCGTGAGAAGCACCATGCCAGACTCCGTGACCCAGCAGGTTTGTCTGGGGTGCAAGTTATAGGAAGGGAGGGACCCAGGGGCGATAACCAAAGCTGTTCTTCAGAATCCATGTTCTCAGCTGTGTGTATAGTGTGGTTAGTTCAGCCCTGCCTTGAGCCATAACTCCGGAACCTTTCCAGATTCTGCAGCAGAACCAAGGTCGCAAAGCCTGTGATCGGCTAGTGGACAAGACGACAACGAAGAAGAAGAAGAAGAAGAAGGCTGAGGGCACTGTGTTCACTGAAGAAGACTTCCAGAAATTCCAGAGGGAGTATTTTGGCAGCTAGCCTTCCTGGCAGTCATAAAAGGCATTAACCTCTCCTGACTGCCATGCCTTTGCTGTCCCTGCAGTGCTGTGCCATGGGTGACCAGCAGGTAGCAGTGCAAATCTAGCCTGGCTCAGGAAGCCCTAGAGCTGCTATCCTAGGGACATTGGACCAGACAGAGCTGCAAGCCCTGCAGCAGATTCGCCCTCAAGTTGAAGCAGACTTCTGGTTTGGGCAGTCAACAGTACCCTTCCAGAAAAGATTTCTGACCTGTTAGCTCTGACCCGGATCCGGTCCTAAGGCTGTTTGCTGTGAAACAGGTCAGGTACTTGGCCTGCTCAGACCACACATCCAGGGGCTGAAAATTTGGGGTTCAAGTAAATGTGGATTTCAGCAGATATGAGTTCAAACTCTGTGTGTGTGTGTGCGCGCACGTGTGTGCATCCGCTGTTGATGTGACTTAAAACATGTGCTCTGTATCACAAGTCCCCTGGTCTGGGCCCAGCATAAATGCCTTCCACCAGCAAGGCCTTCCTCTTTGGGCATAGCTGCTACAGCTGCCGGGGCTGCCCAGGAAGTGGACAGTAAGGTCTGGGTGTCTAGAAGTGGAACGGCCTCAGCTGCCCTGGAGCTGGGGGTCTGCTGTGACACTGGTAGAGAGCAAAAGCTTTTGGTCACATGGGATTGGGACATGGGTGATTTAAGTCTGTGCAAAGCCAGGGACCACAGTGAAAGCCATGGTTGTGCTCCCTCTACACAAGTGACAAAGGAAAGAGCGTGTGGAGTGAACACTAGGGAAGAGTGGCATATATAGCTACTCTACAGTGGAGGAGAAAGAGCCTGTCCTAACGACCAGGAGACCCTTCAGTGGAGACAGACGGATCCTTCAGCAGAGAAGTGATGGTCTTCATACAGCAGTCTTCTCCCCTGAGCTCGCCTCTCCTCCAGTCTCAGGTCATTGGGACTCTTGAACCCATGGAGACTCCAGAGCTTCTAGTAGAGGAAGGCCACTGATGGGTCTCCGGAGGCTTGCCTCAGTAACCATTGGTCAGTCCCTGACAAGCCAGTGCTTGGGCTTCTTGTCCTCATAAGAGAATGGGCAGCTGTCCTCTGCCTTAAGCTGCACTACATCTCCAGTGGGAGCCAGGACTACCCAGAGCAGAGCAGAGCTGATCCTCCTCCGGGCAGCCTCTACCTGGGAGGCGTGACCATCCACCCCTTCCTGCTTGCTGGGCTTTGCTGACCTTCAGAGGAGCACGTTCATGTTGCCTTGGGGATTCATTTCTGTATCTTAAGCTGCTTAGCAAACAGCTCAATGGTTATTCTGGTGGGGGCAGGGCTCTAGAGCCCGTTTCTAGGGAGCACATACCTTTGGTCACATGGCACCCAGAGGCTGCAGGTAGAGATCCTGTACCTTGGTATAAGGCCTCCACTGGCTGCCAAGAAGGAAAGGCTTTATTATCATAGGATGGAGTGCTGACCATCATCCCAAATCTTACCAACCAGCGGCCCAAAAGAATACCATTTGTTAGATTCAAGCCAAGGGGGCCTAGCAGAGGGAGACCTACCCCAACTAAGGCATCCAAAACAGGTGCAGGAGCAAAGACTACTGGGAACATCTGGGGCCACATTTGTGACCTGCACTGGGAACTGCTGCTGCACCTCCTACCCCCAGCCTGTGGCCGTGCTCACTGCCTGGTTCTCTTCCTTCAGTGGGCTGGATAAAGTGGAGCAGAACTGCCACTGGTGGTGATCTTGGGGACTCACAGGGCCGTCTACCAGGACACTAGCCTTGCCTAGAGTGGTCTGACAGGTGGGAAGGGCTCAAGGCCCAACTGCAGCTGGATAGGTGGGCTGGGGTAAACCTCCCTCTTCATACACTTCTCCCTTTCTTAAAGACTTATGAGACCAAGCAGTCTGCACTGAGATCCCCCCCAATCCCAGCTGGCCTGTCTGAAGTTGTCACTTGGTACTGGTTTGAACATTTACCTGCCATCCACCACGGCAAGGTCCCCTGCCCATCCAGTAGAGTACACAGCCCTTGAGTCTCCCTGAAGAGACTTGCTCTTCCTGGGCTCTTCTGACTCCAAACCCTACATCCACCACCTCACTGGCCAAGACAGTCTAGCTTCTGCCTGCATAAAAGGGTGAGCCAAAAGGCCTGCGACGGAAGTGGGGCTGCTGTGTCATCCTCCTACCCACACCCAGGCCCCACCTTCTTCCTTGAGCCCAGCATGCTGCAAGAGCAGGGTCTCCACCCAGCCTGCCTTCACATCATTGTCCCTGTCTCTCAGGACAAAGTTCCAGAAAAGCTGAGCTGTTCCTCGTGTTCACTGTTTGCATTTGTGACTGTTCCTAGTGCACTGGACAGTCACCAAAGGTAGGAAAACTGAAGGCCATCCTCTGCCAGGTAACAGGCACCCACGACCAACAGCTCCAGTCTGAGCAAGTGAAAGGGGAGCCAGCTTTTGTCAGCACCTGTCAAGGGCTCTAAGTCACTGGTCAGGGTGGCTAGATCTTAGCAGTTTCCCTAGGTCCCTCTTATAATGCCCATCCCAGAGTACACCTTAACCTCAGGTAGGGTAGGTATCTATAACCCCGGCACTTGGAAGGTGGAGGCTGGAGGAGCAACAATTCAACATCATCCTGGGTTTTTGGGGGTCTATTTTTGGCTAGGGTCATCTGAAAGGACTGACATTAACTCTGCAAGAAGGAAAGCAGCAATAGTTCTCAGGCAGAAGGAACGTCTGCCAAGAGAATTGGTCTCCAAGGGCTTCAACCTGCTTCCTGTCCCAGCGCCTCCCTCCCACTACCATGTCCCTAGGCTGGAATAAAGCTGTCCCTTGGCCAAATGGATCAAAGCTGAGGGTGATGGTTTTTATAGCTCATTTTGGGGGTGAGGGGGTGTGTGGTTACAAAACTGAAGTGAGGGACTAGAGTGGGGCTTAAAAACAACTGTGCTCGTTAGGGTGGAGCAGTCTATGCCGAAGACTGATTCCCCACCCTGCCACCCCCTCACTGAAACCAAGCCTAGTGTAGCCAGTTGATGCTTGTGTGGTAACTCAAGCTGGCATCCAGCTTGTGATGCTGTCCTAGCTCAGTATAATTTACAGCTACAACTGACATTTTCTTCAGCTTGTGTACACAGAAAGGCATCGTGAAGCTTCCTGTCCTTACTGATCCGGATACACAGCATGTTCTCTGCTTTAGGTTTGAGCCACTTTCCCACTGCTCTGTGCATTGTGTTCCATGCCTTTAACCCCAGTACTCAGGACTGAAACCACACTGGCCCTCAAAATGAACCCACAGAATAAAAACCCAAAACCTAAAAAAAGATGTCAAGTGGAATAACAGTATCTGTAACATGTTTAAAGAGCATTCTATATAGACTATCGGCACACGTGCACTAAGTTCGTAACTCTTTGAGGAATCTCTTCAGGAACGACTCCAAGGTCACATCCTAAAATGGAAACAGACTGTTTCTACAACTTCCTCCACTATTTAAGGGTAGATCCTATGGAGGCTGGGAGGTCCAGTCATGTGAATTCCAGATGAGTATCTCATCCTAGATTAGCAGATTACAACAGCCAGCACTCAAGTCTCTGCAGGCACCAGGAAGGCTGGACCACCAAGTCTTATGCACACTAGTTTCCAGGTTTAAGAGGCAAAATATACAGGTAGTACAGGACTCTGCCCTAGAGTCCTAGTTCCCTTCCCAGCTTTCTGCCTGAATTCCTCTATAGACACTGCCAGCCCATTGCCGTTTCACTCACCCCAACCCTTCCAACCTGATCAAGGTGGAAACCCCAGCATCCCAGTGTCAGAGTGACCAACAGCAGCTCTATGCTTTCCTCAGTCTGCATAAGCTTAGAGAAACCTAATCTTGTGTGCAAGGACTGCAAGACCTTAATGGCAGATAATCTGGCAGAAAGGCAGTTTTAAGAGCAGTTGGAATTCAAGCTGTTTCTCAGGAACCCACAGATCCTGACTGATCTTTAGTCCACAAGCTCAGCCCTGTGCTGCACCCAGCCACCCCAGGACCTTCCACCCACCCCACAAAACGACACTGCAAACCTTCGGGATACTTTTAACTACAAAATAATTTATTACAGCAAACACAGCTTCACAAGACTATGTACAAGCACAAAGCACCTGACTACTCTAAGGAACTCGCTTCTTTCCCCTTGCCTTACGGACCTCTTCTATCAGATCTTTTAAATACTGAATCTCTTTGGCAAGAGAATCTGCCTTCTCTTTGAGAGCTTCATTCTTTTTTTCTAGCTCTTTACACTCTCCTGTGAGGGCTTCCTGTTCAGCCCGCTTCTTCTGACGATACCTAGTGGCTGCTGTCTTGTTCTGCTCCATTTTTTTCAGTTTCTTATCCAACTTTTCAGTCTTTACTTTAGCTGTCAAAGTAACTCCAGGTGGGTCATAAGGTTTGGGTCGAGGAGCCCCCCGGGGGACACTTGGAGAAGGCAGACTGTTTGGTGATGCCCTGGAGGTGGAGGGGCTATGCTGGGGAGAGCCCAGGTAGGACTCGGGGCTCATACAGATGCCACTGTCATTATCTGAGGGGGTGTCTTCCTCCTTTACACACTGAGGGATTAGCGTAATATAAACAGCGGAGTCAGGCTTCCTGTCTCCTTCAGAGATATCAACTTCACTGCCTAGCTCTAAACTGAAGGAATGATCTGGAGTGGAAGACAGGACCCCTGAGGAACATGGAAGAGGCTGCAAGAATGCAAAGGGGGCAACCTGGTCAACTTTTGTTACACTTTCTGGGAGATGGCCAATTGGGTTCACTGTCTGAGGGGGCTCCTTATTAGTCTCTTGGACTAAAGGGGCAAAAAGATCACATGTGTCATCCAACGTGGCCAAAAGCTCATCTGGCATGGTTTCCAGGTCATCCATTCGAAACAGTGCATCGAAGTCAAACTCTTTCAGATCCATTTTCTCCAACATCCAATCTGTCCCAGAAAAGGCATCCTCTGTAAAATAAATCAGGAGTGAATGTTTCGGATCACATACTCAAGGCAGAAGCCATTAGAATAGAGCACTTTGGAGCAGGTGGTCCACTCACCCTTGCCGGTGTCTGAGGCACTGACCAACCCATCCACAGCCAGCCATTCGGAGGAGCCTGCCTTAGCCTTGTCGCTGGAGAACCCATGAGGTTTGAAGTGCTTGGCCACCTCCAGGTAGTCATCTAAGAGACCTAAGCTTTCTTCAGCCCCCAAACCCGACTGGTCGAAGGGGGACATCAAGTCCCCCGCCAACACTTCGCTGTTCAGGAAGCTCATCTCGGTCATGTTGTGGGGCTTTGCTGGAATCGAAGAATGTGCTTAAATCGAAGGTGTCTTTGTCCGTTACAGCAACGCTGCTGCTGGATTCCGTGAAGAGCCTGAAGAAGGACCCAAAAGCAAGTCCCATCATCTTTCTATCTAAGATGCTAGATGGACAAATCCCAGTATCTGAAGCTGCTGAATGGGTAGCACGTAGGCCCAAGGCCATTTGTGTAAGCTTCCCCTGCCGCCAGCTCGGGTTGCACAAGATGGAGGCTCAGCTTCGCCTCACCGGCCACCCAGAGGAAGCAGCTTGTCCTCGCGTCCTAATACGGCCATGGCCGCCGCGCCCCGCCCCGCCCGTGACTCACACCCCCGCCCCACCGCCATCTTGGCCTCGCCACGTTCGCAGGACACCGGAACACCGGTGAGCTGGCGGTGGCTAAGAGACGGAAGGGCGGCGGCAGCGTTTCAAGAACCACTCACCACCATCCCCCACCACGCCGCCCGACCGCACCCCCACCCCTGCCGTGGGCGCCGGCGTCTCTGGGCCACGCAAACAAGGCCGACGCGTCCGGCCGCTCGTAAAGCCGCGGAAGCTGGCCACCGCGCCCAGGCCTCAGGCCGCGCCCAACCACAGCAGGCCACACGGCCTGCGCAGCCCGCCCGGTACTCACGCCATGGCTTAAGCCGGTGGGGGGGTTGCCGCTGCAGAGCCTGGTGCTGCTGCCGCCGCTGCAAATGCCAACGCTGCCGCAGGCACTGCTGCCTCTAATACGCCATGGTGGCCGCAAGCCCTGCGGGCGGGGAGGAGGGAAGGTGCGGCACTACGCACACCGTCATCTACCAGAGAGCAAGCAGAAATGGCGGCGACACGCCCTAAGCCCGCCTTTTATATCGCCGACGAGGGACGCAGCACACCGCGCATCCTCCCGCCGCGGTCACGTGACCCGGCTGCAGCCCACCCGGCTGCAGCCCGTAGACGCCCCGGCCCGCCCCAGCCCTCCTCCCCAGTGCTCGGAGAGTGGCTGTGGCGTGGCAGATTATTCTGGACGCCACACGAAAGGAGAAAAGTGCACTACTTTATAGGTTTACGACCCACAGAAGTCACGCCCCCTGTCGCCCAGAGTGCGGAGGGATCTCTCGAACCCAACTTCCGGTGTCTCCCAGGGCGGGGAAAAGCACTTAGCCAAAGCTGCCTGGTTATCACGCGAGATGCGGATGGAGCACGCGTCGAGCTGATTGGCCCAGCCGTGGCGAGTCATCTAAACTTCAGGTTTCTATTGGCTCTGAACCTGAGCGCCTTAGGCGCAGTAGGTCTGTGCGGGAAGGGCGGAGCCACCAGGGATTTCGGCGACAGTCTGTCACACCTTTCGGCTCTTGTCGAAGGTGACCCTGATACAGTTGCTCCCTCTGTCATCGCTCCTGGGCAGGTTTGGTCTAGCACAGAGCAACAGCTCTCCAGGCATGACCCTTGGTGTTCTCAGGACCGAATGGACAGGCTTCCGGCCTGTAGGGGCCCTCCGCAGTTACCTGGTCGGAGGCCTTCAGCTTCCTTATCAGTCCAGGAACCGCACTTGGAGGGCGGGACAGAGCAGAGCGTGTTGGAGCCTTATTGGGAGATAACTCCAGTTCCTCCAGCTCTGCAAGTTTGCTTTGAACCCTGTGCTGAGAAAATATGCCTAATCTTAGGTCTAACCCACCCTGCCATCATAGAGGTGCTTGCTTATGTTTTATACAGGAGCAGTTCCCCTAAGATCAGGTTGTATTCAGCTGGCTCGCAAGCCCAGCAAGTTAGATTTAGTTAACTCCCAAATCTAACTTCCAGACACAACCTTCCCAAGAAGTCATCCTGGTGAGTAAGCAGCCGTTTAAGTGATGTTTGGAAAGCTCCAAGTCCTGGTCAGAGCCAACCCTCCATAAAAGGTGCGTTGTGGGGAGTGCTGAGAGGCCCCCTTCCCGACTCCAGCCCAGAAACCTTCTGAGTTTCCACTTCTGTTGAAGTGACTCAAAGTCATTTCGTGACTGAGGCATCTGGCTAAATGACATCCACTCTGAGCCTGTTTCCTTATCTGCAAAAGGCTGTCTCTCCTGGCCTGAAGGATGAAGTATGTAAGCAGCTAGCACCGTGCCTGCCACTTATTGCTCAATAACTACCTGCAAGCCATGTACTCTAGTACACACAATCCTAGTACTCAGGACTCTTGAGTACCATGCTTCAAGGTCATCCTTGACTACATGATTGAGACTGAAAAAAACAAACTTACTGCAATTATTACTAAAACACTCAGACCTAATTAACAAGTCCCTATCTCCATGATTCATCCTGCTTCCTCAGAGGATCCTTTACTATTCCTTACTGCGACTAAACCCACTATAAACAACCAGAATGCACAAGACCTATATAATAGGGTGATTTTTATCACCAAATAAATCATGCGTGCATGTACACCACACACAGAAGTTGCCTGGCCTTTCCATATAAAGGCAACAAGTGTAATGCCCTCCCTTTGCTCTCAAAACCAAAACAGGAGCCACATTTTCACACCTTACAAGTTTCCTAAGCCTAATATATCCTGCAAACCATGTTTTTCAACCTGTGAACTTGTACACCAGGATGCACACACACCCCCCTTGGCCTTGCTAATAAACTCCTGAACCTGTGATATGAGCCCCCTTTTGCCTTCTGAAAACCTGTCTTCCCAGATAGCTTGATGACTCCCTTCCACATGATGTATGCTTGCACTTATTTTCATGACATTCTAACAGCCAATTATCCCAACAGCTGTTTTCGAGCACACTTATCTACAAAAAAAAAAAAAAAAAAAAAGACAGTCTTGAGCCCTGAGTCTCTGTCCAGGTGCTAACAGCCAATTGTCCCAATAGCTGGTTTTTTTTTGTTTTGTTTTGTTTTTTTTCCTTTTGATTTGTCAAGACAGGTTTTTTGGTTTTTGTTTTGTTTTTCAAATGTAGCCTTGGCTGTTCTAGACTCTTCGCAGACCAGACTGGCCTTGAACTCACAAAAATAATCTGCCCACCTGTCTCCGAGTGCTGGAATTACAGGCATGCACCACAGCATCCAGCCAAATATTTTTTCATTTATTTATTTAGATAGCATTCTGCCTGCATGTGAGCCAGAAGAGAGCACATGATTATGAGCCATCATGTGGTTGCTGGGAATTGAACTCAGCCAGTGTTCCTAACCTCTGAGCCATCTCTCCAGGCCCCCAACAGCTATTTCCTAGCAACCCTAACCCTTCATAAAAGGGAGCTCAAGACAGTGAGGGGCTGCTTAGCTAGCCATCTAAATAAAGTTTGCTTTAATCAGACAGTTGTGGAAATGTTTGGTTTTTGGTTCTTTTTTTTGTGGGGGGGAGGGCTCGAGGGGACGGGTGTTGAGACAGGGTTTCTCTGTGTAGCTTTGGCTGTCCTGGAACTTGCTGTATAAATCAGGTTGGCCTCCAACTCACAGAGATCTGCCTGCCTCAGCCTCCCAAGTGCTGGGATTAAAGGTGTGCCACCACCACCCTGCTGGAAATGAACCCCCACACACACATCTAACAAAGGCTCCTGAAATATGGCATGCAGGCTAAAAAACACTGACCATGATTTGACAGTATAGAGGTCACAAGGGAATGTCTGGTGGCTCCTCCCCCTTCTACTAACAAGATCCACCTAGCACACATGTAAGAAAATACCTGATACCACATACACACGTCAGAATTGTTGGAAAGGAGATTTTTATTTTCTTCTTCCCATGCTGCAGAAGATGCTGTTTTTCCCCAGCCAAGTATCCTTCTTCAGGAGAAAAAGGAATGAAGGTTCTCTGGGCCTCAGAGCTAAGCTGCTCCTCTAACAGACCCAGCCAAGACAGGACACAAAGATTGGTGACACAAAGATCCACTCTACCAGCTTAACACAACTGACCACCACAGAAGGGCAGGCAAGTGACTGGAAGGCAAGTTGTGGACCTGGCCTCAGGGACCAAGAGTTTAAAGACTACAAGGTGATCAAAATAAAAGTTAACACCCACCTCACCCCCATCTGTAGTTAAATTACATGCTGGTATTTTGGACACTTAGAGAGGCTTACAACCTCCCAGCCTGGTACAAGGGCCAACTCTAGTCTCAAGTAGCTCATCATTTATTTACCTTGGCCTGGACTTTGAGCTAAAAAAGCCAGAGTTGTAGCAGATGTTCCCAGTTCTGTCAAGTCATAATCCCAAGGAAGTGCGCCTTGGCAGAAGGCTTTGAGCACAGGGGGCCTGCAGCTGCCGGGACCCCTCAGGGCCCTGTTCCTGAAGCTGATTCATCTTAACTGGCTGAGCCTTTGGCTGGATTACAGTGGAGTAGTCAGTCAGCCAGGACCAACACAGGAAAGGATGGGCCACTCCAAGTTTTTCTATCTTTGTTTTTAAAAAGTGTCAACTGTTAATATGAAGAAAAATACTGCTATCCCAAATTCTATTTGGGGGTAAGGACAATAGAGAAGAACCAAAATAAACTTGGATTTACTTGGGTATCAGGGTAATAAGTACAGTTTTAGGCATCAAGTATGTAGTCTGCTAACCTAGACAATGTCAAAATACCTCCCAGACAGAAGTAGGGGCCTGACATTGGCATTTCCTTCAAGCAAAAGTGGGAGTTACTGAAGAGAAAGGCAGAGTGGTGGCACAGCCACCAGGTCTTTCAACAAAGGGTAGGAGGGAAGGAAGGAGCAGCACAATTTTTTTTCCCATGCAAGCATCCCCGAGCATTTGGCCACCTCCCATACTTTATGACAAAGAAAATGACAGCGAGCGGAAGGTGTGCTCGGCTAATGCACAAACCCACCAGGACAGAGCTAGTCCCGTGTTTCCTTGTTCTGAAGACTTCTAAGAGGCTCTAGTTTATAAAATGGCCAAGTCATGATTTTGGTTTTTGCAAAGCACAGTCCAAAAGTCAATGCTGTTCATAAAGATAGGAAACGAATTCATTGCTTTTCCTAAGTTCACAATGACATATGGCTGTGATTATTTGGGACTTTTGATATCTTGAGCATCTTCAAGTTTGGGGGGTTCATTTGCACTCTTTCCGGCATCTTAAATGGAATCAGTTCAGAGCTAACAGCTTGGGAATCT